TAGTTCGTGTGTACTATATGTACCTGAAAAGTTGTGTGGCAATCAAATTTTCGCAAATAGAATCCTGTTTTACATACACTAAGAAAGGACCTACTTTATCCTTTAAACAAGAGGTCAGCAGACTTTTCCTACACAGGGTCAGATAGTAAAGATTTTATACCTTTTGTACCATACAATCTCTAACCCATCTACTCAGCTCTGCCATTGTAGCATAAAAGCAGCTGTAGATGATACACAAATGGGTGAGGCTATATTCCAATGAAACATTATTTGCAAAAACAGGTGGTAGACTAAATTTGGTCCCAAGGCTTACTTGGGGAAAAAATGATCTTTTGAAAAAGAAAAAAAATAAATAATTTTTAAAAAATTGGTCCCTAGGTCATAGTTTGCCAACTTCTGCATTACATTAAACAAATAATTCTTGAATGTCTACTATGATGCATAAGATATGAGTAAATACCAGGGGTACACAGAGAACAAAAGAGAAAAACTGCTATTCTTGTGAAACTTGGAAGTTGGAGGTAAGCTATTTAAAATAGACCTACGATAAAGTACTTCATATAGTGCAGACTGTTTCTTTAAAGCAAAACTCACTCCAAACAACCAATTGATTCACTTTGTAAGTTTGAGTTTTTGTCTTCAGATTCTTTTAAAGTGGGCTCTTAGGCACGGTGGCTCACGCCTGTAATCCTAGCACTTTGGGAGACTGAGACAGGCAGATCACTTGAGGTCAGGAGTTCGAGACAAGCCAGCCAACATGGCGAAACCCCATCTCCATTGAAAATCCAAAAATTAGCCCAGCATGGTGGCATTCGCCTGTAGTCCCAGCTACTCAGGAGGCTGAGGCAGGAGAATTGCTTGAACCTGGGAGGTGGAGATTGCGGTGAGCCAAGATCGTGCAGTTGTACTCCAGCCTGGGCAACAGAGCAAGACTCTGTCTCAAAAAAATAAAAATTAAAAAAATAAATAAAGTAGCCTCCAGCCTAAGATAGCTTGAGCCTAGGTGTGAATCTACTGCCTTACTTTAAAGTAAGCGCAGTAAGTGTGGGGGCTGCAGGGAATATCCAGGAGGAACAATAATTTCAGAGGCTCTGTCTCTTCATGTCCTTTACCTCTGCTTACAGCAGCAATATTTTTACTCAGACTTCCTGTTTCTGGAACTTGCCTTCTTTTTTGCTGTGTTTATACTTCCCTTGTCTGTGGTTAGATAAGTATAAAGCCCTAGATCTAAGCTTCTCTGTCTTCCTCCCTCCCTCCCTTCCTCTTCCTCTCATTCATTTCATACACACTGGCTCACACATCTCTCTCTCTCTTTCTCTCTCAGAATGACAATTCTAGGTACAACTTTTGGCATGGTTTTTTCTTTACTTCAAGTCGTTTCTGGAGAAAGTGGCTATGCGCAAAATGGTGAGTCATTTCTTACTTTTCTTATGGATTTTGGATTATCTGTAGCATGGTTTCAGGCTACTCAGTTCCGTAACAGACCTGAGTCAGGCACTGGGTTGGAGTGGAGTTTGAGAATTTACTACATATTCAGTCATTTTTTTAAATGTTCTAACCACCATGACAGGGGGCAAGGGGTCAATACTATGGGTGGTTTATAAGACCTCAGAATTCTCAAGAAGGAATGCATTTCACTCCCAAGTGTAGATCTTAAATGTTGAATGATTCCTCTGCTTTTACGAAAGGAACACTCATGTAGATGCTATAGGAAAATGTCCAGAGCCATTTTACTTTGTCAGGAGATCAAATTGGATTCATTTTGTTTGACTTTTTAAGAAATCCTGAAAGCATAACTTTCAGGATGAGATAATGTCCAGAAGCAATCAATAGCTTTGTCTGCATTGACCAGTGCTATATCCTCAACACCTAAATCAGTGGCTAGAATATAGTAGACATCCAATAACTTTTGAAAGTGTTTTCAAAGTACTTTATTTTTGAGAGATTTATGTGAGATTTTAAGTAAATAACTGACTAGAGAAAGATGTAAATAAGTTTACTCATTGCAATACACTGAATTGCCTCTACACCAACAAATTGGCCATATGTAATGATTCTCTTTGGGATCTAAAAAACTTAGTACCGAGAAGCCAACCCTGCCCATATATAAACACATTGTAATTATAACAAAACTAGACAGAAGTGTCTAACAGTAGCAGGAGGCATGTGGGAATTTAGACAATCAACTTGCTTCTGCAAATTAAGCCCTTTCACTTCAAGAGTTAAAGAGTATTTGCCTGTACACAATATCAAACATATCAGCCTAATGACTCAGCTTATATATTTTGAGTCATGTAATAACAAAGGATGGAAATCCCTAGAATTTTCTCATTAAGGGAATTGTCAGAGAATTTGACATTTTTTACAGTGTATGACTCACTTTATGGGGGATGATCATTATTCTATGCTAAACATTGCCTTGGGTTTCCACAAAGACTGATGTGTGGCAGGAAACATAAATCTTACTCTCTTTGGTGTCATCTATACTCACTATTTCACCATGGTGATCATACTATTTTTAAAATATATAAGAATTCTAGTTGAAAGTTGAGTTTTCACTTCAACTTTTTAAGTTTCAGATTTTTTAGAAGATGTATAATTACCCTATTCACATGATTACATCAAAATACTTCCCAGTTTGGGGTATAAGGAATTCACATTCAGTTGCTGCTTGTTGAAAGCTGTCAATTTTCTGATCATCACAAGGATGATCAAGAGAAGAAAGGTACACTTTTTAAAAATCCAAATCATTTACACTATTAATCAACTAACTCCATTCAGTAGGAAGAAGACTTCTAAATGACACTGGCTTGCCTATGATACATATTCCACAAAATTTAAATTTTTATGGATAGATATGTCTAGATACCTACTTAAATATGAATAATATTAATTATTGAGCATTTAAAGAATAATAGATTAACTCATTATTCAAAAGCTCCATGTAATTTCAAAACCATAGTGATTATAACATCTTCAATTGACATAAACTTTTTAAAGAGAAGCTCAAATGTTTCATGTACATTTTCAGAATTAGAATTCTTATTTTACCTTTTCATTACTTATTTCTCAGAAAATATTATACTCATAGCTAATCTCTATTAAATCCTTACTATGTTCTAAGCTGCCTCTTTGTATATATCCATTCAGTGATTGCTCATAGCATGAGTTTACATATTAGAACACATGTTTTAGAGAAGTTGCCTACCTGACAGAGGACCACAAGTAGACTATGCAGACAGAATTTAAATGCACATCTGTCCAGCTCTGACACCACAGGTCTTAACCACTGTGTACATTACCCACTCTTAGCCAAGAATTTTTCAACTCATGTCATGCAGAATATTCTCTTTGTAAAATGCCATCACATTTTATAAGTCATTGAAGGGAGTTTTTCTGGGTTACAGAGGAACTCTGCCCAGTAATATCTACTGAAAAGTCAGTGAGCTGCTTCCTAAAACACAGCCATTTTAGGTGCAGGAAACAGGGCATAAATGGCTCATTGTATATTGTATGCTTTGCCAGGCTGAGTGGAAGTGGGAGTCCTTTGTTTTGTGATGTGGGTGCCGGCATCTGCTAGAGTGTGCTGTCTCTATTGAAGAATCGTGAAGACAAAGCTGGCCCACAGGATGTCTGAATCCAAATAATAATCTATGTTCTGTGTATAGGATTGGTGGAAGAGAAAATGTCAGGACAGTGTGAGGAGTGCCATGTAAAGTCAGAACCACTGCATATAGAAAGCTATCACTGCACAGGGAAGAAATCTAAGTCTACAAAATTAGCGGGCTGCCTCTCATTATTTCATGCTGTCATCAGAAGGAGGGCCTTACCCTGCTGAAATTACATAAAGAGTTTTGCTAGAGGCAGAGCTGTGAGCTGGATGGATTCTGGGAATGGCCAGAAAGATAAATGCCTGTGTCTGTGAGCAGCGCCCACATCTATGGTCTAGCTAGGACTGTTTGAGATTTGTTGCTTTGACTGAACCAATCTGTCATTCAACTGGTTGGTCCATTCACAATCAGCTTTACTAACTTTCCCATTTTCCCTACTGAGTTATTTAAGTAAAGAAAGTGCTGTTCCAACAACCCTTGGTCTCAGGGACACTCAACTGGGATTCGATTTTAGTATATTCTGTTTCCAGTGTAAAGCCTTGGAAGCATCTAATTTCTAGTACCAGTGAACCAAAAATACATGGACGCAGTCCTAGGCTCACACTTGAGCACTCTGAGAATGGCTTTGCTTGCTCTGGATTTTCTCAGGTCCCAGTGGTTGTACACTTATTTATTCCAGCCTCACTTTGCTATCATGTAAAACATACATACAAAATGCAGATTTCATTATAGGGTCTACAACTCAGCTTAAGAAACCAAATACTATGTGTGACAGATTACACTTTCCAAAAGTAATGACAAAAAAAAAAGAAAATTTTTGGTTCCCCACTTTTTCCAGAATCCTGCTAGAATCTATAAGATACTGTGTCTATAGAAGAATCTATAAGAGCAGAAGCAGTATGTACAACATTCACTGGAAGTTTCACCAAATCTGAGTCCTGCCAGATCTAATGTTTTTTCCTAACCTCATTTGTCTCAGTCAGTAGCTTAAGACAATGGAGATAATCAATGCCACTTTTAGTTGGGATGCCTTTTTAGGCAAGGGAAAGTGACCTTTTAAAAAAGCAAAATTCTGACTGCAAGATAGCTATCATTGTCCTTCATTTAAGAAAAAAAAGATACTAGGGAGGGAATAAATTATGATTTCTAATAAAGTCAAAAGTGAGATTAGGTAGCATGGGGATAATGGAAATAAAGTGTCTCTTCTTTGAAATATAGGGACAATCAATGTAACAAATGTAGTAAAAGAAACTCCAGTTTAAATACAGAAAAAAAATGTGTTCAGTGCCTCTGGTTCTTTAACTCAGAAATATTTAGAGGTTACTTACTCATTATGATGGATTTTTTTTTTTTCTATTGGAAAACTCTGTTAGCATTGAGCATTTTTGTTTTTTGTTTTTTGTTGGTTGGTTGGTTTTGAAGCATTTTTCTTGTCTTCGCCCTTGGGCTTTCCTTCCTTAGATAATACATAATCCATTACTACTGCAGGTCTGCCACGGAGTCTGCTATTTTATTAAGGTCATGCCATATATCAAAAGGATGCATTTATTTGTTTCATTAACAGCTGCATGTTTGTTCCTCCCCAGGAGACTTGGAAGATGCAGAACTGGATGACTACTCATTCTCATGCTATAGCCAGTTGGAAGTGAATGGATCCCAGCACTCACTGACCTGTGCTTTTGAGGACCCAGATGTCAACACCACCAATCTGGAATTCGAAATATGGTGAGGGATGGTGGTTTTAATGGTTGCTTAGGCATCCTCTGTCTCTCTTTTCATGTGCTCCTTTTAATAGCTGCAAAAGAAAGAATATGTGGCCTAATTAACAAATGTTAACATCTAAGGAATTCCCAACAGCCTCCTGAAACTGCTTGTCCTTCACCAAAAACACTCATGCAAAGCTCCTCTCATGGTCCAACTTTCAGATCCTGAGGCTCAGTCAAATGACACTCTGGATCTTGGGGATCCCACATCCCTCCCAACTTCATGTCAGAATTTAAAACCTGCATCTCCTACAACATGCCTCACCAAAAATCTATTTGCCCAACATGAGACAATCCAGTGTCTTCAAGTTGCATCTGAGAGTTAAACTGCCTTGTTTCCAATCCCAATACCAGTGCTTACTAGCTTTTTGACCAAGAGAAAGTTATGTGATATATCTGTGCCTCAGTTTCCTCACCTGTAAAATGAGATAACCTGCCTCACAGGAAGGTTGTGATGGTTAAATAGTTTGTTCCATCATGTAAATCATTCCAAATAGCCAGTGAATAACGAGTAATGGGGAAGCAACATTAAATTATAATTCTGTGAATATTGACCTAACTTCTACCATCTTGACACAATTTGACTTCAGATGATCCTCTCAATGTAAATTTTCCAAAAATCCACAGGAACAAGTTGGCATTTTTTTTCGCAAGGTCTCACAGAAAAGGCAAAGAAAAAGAGTCTTTGATTTGAAAGTTTACTAAAGGTCTCAGGGAACTTTATCTTCTCCTTCCACCATAAGTCATCTCTTGTTGCCAAGGGTTACTATCTCTGGTGATTTGAGACATTACTCTAACTTGAAATTCTGATGTGAAGCTATCTCCAAATTCGTATCCGAATGACCTAATTTTTACTTAGTGTCCTAGTGAGCAAAGTAAATCAAGATCCACCAGTAGTAATAGAAGGCTTCCTACATTCCATAGACACTAAGACAATTCTCCACAGTCCATAGTCCAAACAAGCCCTGAATTCCTGTTTATGTTAATTTATGGGAGCTTCCTGCATCTATTCATTGCGGCGCTTCCTGCTGCAGTCCTTAGATAAACATGCTTTTGGACTTCAGTAGTGTACTGTGTTCTCCATCTGCCTCTGTTCACTTCCCTAACACATTTTCCAGGAATAAAATATGTTGAAAGAACCAGAACCAGTTCAGTGTCCACAAGCTAGGCTGGAAATGGATTGCACTAAAACAGTCGAACAACTCATTCAACCAATGCACTCATTTTCATGGGCAAATCACTCTCCCACACAGAGGTTTGACTTTGGCTTTTTGGCTGGTGGGCCGAGTGTTCGTCCTGGTTTCTCTTGGCCAAGCTGAGGTTGACCTTTCTGTTCACTTTCATTCACACCATATTTGACCACTTCCTTGCCCACTTAAACACACTTACCCTTTAACATGTCTCTTGATTTTTCCTGTCATATTGTAATTGTAATCTGTCCAGAGCCTCCTCTATTTGGGTTTTCCAATTGGATTCAGGTATTTCAGTTGGAAAGGGACTGCCTTAAGAAATATTTTCAGCAGAAAATATAAGTATGAGCTCTTTAATAGATTAACTCCTGGAGTTCAAAGCCCTTAAAAGGATGCCCAGTTTCACAAGACAGCCATATGGTCATCCTTGATTGTCCATTGCTCATTAATTTCATTCTCAAAAACATGGGAATGAGCTGAAAATGCCATTTTAGATCCCCCTTAAATTCCCAACAGGACCAGAAACTTGCTACAGGTTGGGGCCTGTAATTGGATATTTCACACATACTTTCCTTACAAATATATTCTGTACTCAAGGATTGAACTAAAAGTTATTGTCCTAGATTCTCTACAACCTATGTTTACCTAAAATTCAGAAATGGGACCCCTCTCCCAGTCTCCCCTTCTAGATTTATTTATCAAATCGTGACAACATTACCATCTTCAGATCTTTCCACCTGATGTTTGTCCTAAGCTTATTCCCTGATATCTGTCTACCTTACCCAAAAATTCAATTTTTATTTTTATCCTGTTCCAAATGGGAAAGCCCATCTACTCCAACAAGGAACATAACTCCCTAGTAACTTTGAAACACACACACATACACGCATACTCTTTAAAGCCTAAACGATTGCATACCCTAAAAGATAGCAGTTAACAAAAGTAACGATTTGGGAGGACAGTTTTAAGGAATGTCCCCAAAGTAATCAATATATTTTGCCAGTTAATTAACTTAACATTTCTTCACCAATCTCTAGTTTTCATGACTGTAGGAGCTTAACCAGTCACTCTCAGACCACAATAAACCAAAGGTGAAAGATTCTGTACCTAAAGCTGGGGCACTCTCCCCTGTGTTTAACCTCCTGGCCAGCTCACCCGAAGCTAGACAAACATGCTCCTCTTTTTGTGCTGAGTCCAGGAGCCATTCTTGAAAGGACTCATTTGAGCACATTTAGAGAAGAGTGTACACACATCCAGTTCACCAAGGAAAACCAACACACATTGTGGGTTGTAGGTAGTAAAAGGCCTTCCTGGAACACACTCCTTAGGATTTAAACAAAATTATATCTGGTTAATGGAAAGAATTCTTTCATATGTGCAATCTTACCCAGAGGAACTTTTTTCTGCCCAGATCTTCACTTCCAATTTGACCCAGTTATGCCTCTTTAGAGCTATTTGGCTGAGCTTAAAGAGCACATAGGAAAAACAAATTGGTAACTGTGTTTATCACAGAAGAGGAAAATTAAATTTAGGGTTAGGAAAGGAAAATAACCCTTGGATTTTACTTTTATTCTATCTTTACAATGAGAATATATACCTTTGTTACCTCTTTAATTTTTACATTATTTATTTATTTTTGTTTACTTTCTTGTTTGATTACAATGGATTTTAGAGGTAAAATTTATGTGTGGTAAAATGCACAAAACTTTAGTGAATTTTGAGAAATGTCTATGACATGTAGCCATTCCAACAGTAAAGATATAGAACTTTTTTTTTTCCCCCCTAGAAGGATGCTTCATATTCCCTTCCAGTCAATCTTCATATCCCAAGAGCAATCATAATTCTCAATTCTATTACCCTTTGGTTTTTGCCAGTTTCTGATAGTTCTTATTGATAGAATATTCTTTATTCTTTTCTGTCTTCTTTCATTTAACACGGTGTTAGTGAGAGTTAGTCATGTTGATGTCCATCTCATAGCTCATCTTTTCAATTGCTGAATAGTAATTCCACTGTATGAATATACCACAAATTTTTAATTCTTTCTCCTCTTGATGAATATTTGTGTGTTTTCAAGTTTGAGACTATTCTTTTTTAGGTTGCTGTTCACATTCTTGGACAAATCAGTTTGTGAATATGTATTTTCATTTCTCTGGGGTGTAAAACCTCAGAATGGAATTGCTGTGTCATAAAGTAAGAGTGTATCTAAGTTTATAGGAAACTGCCCAGCAGTTTTTCAAAGTGGTTATACCATTCTACTCTCCTCCCAGCAATGCATGAGAGCTACACATCTTTTGCAACATTTGAGTTTGGGATAGTATCTGACTAGGCTTTTAATTTGCATTTCTCAAATAACAACTGTTGAACATCTTTTCATATACTTGGTAATTTGCATGTCTTCTTTGGGTTAGAATCTATTAAAATCATTGAGTTATTTGTCCTTTTATTATTGCTGGATATGAGTTCTTTATATATTCTGTATACATTTCCTTTGTCAGATAGATGTATTGCGTCTATTTTCTAGTCTGAAGTTTGCCATTTTATTTTCTTAATGGTGCATATTAATAAGCAAGATTTTTTTTTATCTTGATGGAGTCTAATATATCATTTATTTTCTTTTATATGTAGTGCTTTTTGTATCCTTGCTAAGATACCTTTGCCTACTCCCAAAATTGGGAAGATATTTTATGTTTTCTTTTAAATGTTCTACAATTTTAGCCTTCATATTTAGGTTAATATCCGACATATAATTAATCCTATAAAACTATGTGAAACTAGGGTTTATATTTTCTGTACATTTACTCAGCTGTTTCAAAGAAATTGGTTGAAAATGATGTACTATGACTCCATTGAATTTATTGGGTGCCTGCATTTAAAAATCCATTAACATTATATGTGAGTCTATTTCTGATTCTCTATTCTTTCTATTGGTCAATTTATTTATCTTTATGCCAGTACTAAATTGTTTTGATTATCATAGCTTTATACTAAGTTTGAAGTCGGATTTCTGAGGCTTCCATTTTCCAGTGTTGTTTTGGCTATCATGGGTTCCTTGTATTTCCACATAAATTTTAGAATCAGCTTGTCAATTTCTTAAAAACTTCTGCTGAGATTTTGAGTAATATTATATGGGCCATTTTGGGGAAAATTTCATGTTATCAATATTGAATTAGCTAGTCCATAAACATAGCTCTCTATTTATTTAGATTTCTTTTAAAACCTGTCAACAATGTTTTGTCATTTCTAATGCAAAGACCTTGAACATCTTTTATTAATTTTATTTCTAAATATTTTGTGTATTTATTTATATCATAAATTGAAATATCATTTTTAAATTTTATTTTCTAATTGTTTGATGCTAGCCTATAGACATACAAACTTACTTTTGTATAATAGCCTTGATAACTCACTTTATTCATTTCTGTAGTTGTATTGAATATTCTTTACCATTTTCCACGTGAATAAATATATTGTCTGCAAATGCTGGAAGTATTTTTTCCTTCTTTCCAATCTGGATACATTTTATTTGTTTCTCTTGTCTTATGCATTGGCTAAAACCTCTTGTACATCACTGAATAGAAATGGTGAAAGTGGATATTCCCATTGTGTCCTGGTCTTAGGGAAACAATTCATGTTCACAATTTCAGCATTAAATATGATATTAACTACAGGCTTTTGTAAATGCTCTCTATCGGGTTGAGGAAGTAACTTTCTATTTCTTATTTGCTGTGAGTTTTTAATATGAATAGATGCATTCATGTTACTAAATTATGCTTTGAATGCATCAGTTGACTATAACCAGGTTATTTATGTCTTCTAGTCTGTTAATATGGCAAATTATATTGATTAATTTTTGAATGTTTAACCTGCTTTGGTTTCCTGAGATATGCCCTACTTTGTCATTATGTATTAAAATTAGTGTGTTAGTATTTTCTGGTAAAATTTTGCTTATACATTTTGAGGGATATTTGTCTATCAGCTTCTTTTCTGTAATATTTTGGCCAGGTTTGGGTGCAAGGATTAAGCTAGCTTCAAAAAATAGGTTGACAAGGGTCATTCCTCCTCTAGTTTCCAAAAGAATTTGTGTCAGCTTGGCACTATTTCTTTCCTTATACATTTGATAGAATTTACCAGAATATAACCATCAGGCATAGAGTTTTCTTTGTGGGAAAGTTTACTGATAATAAGTTTAATTTCTTTGAGAGAAATATAACTCTTGAAATATTCCATTTCTATGTGGGTCAGATTTACTAATTTGTGTTTATGAAAACATTTTCATTACATCTAAGTTATTATATACATTGAAATAGCATTTTAAATTTCCTTATTGTACCTTTAACATCTGCATGTTCTATAGTGATACCTCTCCTCTTACATTCCACATATTAGTAATTTATATCTTTTGTTTTCTTAACAGGTCTTGTTAGGGTTTATCAGCCAAAATTACCTATGAAAATCCCTTACGTTACCCATCAAGTATATGTGATATTACGTATATAACCCTTTATACTATGTTATCATTTTCTTTAACTCTTTTTTAATCAATATTTTTACGGCTCTTATTTCTCACATATATTCCTATGGAGCAGCAAAAAAAAAGCAATTACCTTTTTACCTGAACAAAACATTTGTGTTTCAATGATCAATTATAAAAAATACAGAAATTTCCTATAATTTTATAAACATGTTTTGACTATTTCAGGTTCAATTGCATCTAATTATAAGTAAATCATCACTAAGTATCATAGCAGCAGAAAGCCATATGATTTTAATTCATTATCTCTCATACCTGAACATGCCTCCACTCACCCACCCACATACCTATGAACAGAGTTAAAGTCTAACATACATCAATGTGCATATGATACTATTCCATTGTATACAGGAACTCCTACCTGAATCAAGACATATCCCCTTTTTATTCCTACAGTGGGGCCCTCGTGGAGGTAAAGTGCCTGAGTTTCAGGAAACTACAAGAGATATATTTCATCGAGACAAAGAAATTCTTACTGATTGGAAAGAGCAATATATGTGTGAAGGTTGGAGGAAAGAGTCTAACCTGCAAAAAAATAGACCTAACCACTATAGGTAAGAAGTTGTATATAAGGGTATGGTTGTCATTTTGGGGATACCTGAAAACACTGTGTCTGGACATTCTGTAGGTTAAAAGTAGACAAGTAGTGGAAACAATTGGCAATAGACAATAGCTAATTCCCTACTGCAAATTTTTTTAATAAATGAAAATTTTGAAATTTATACTTTCCTACCATAAAGAATTCTGAGGATCTTCAAACCCACCTGTGAAAGAGAGTGTTTGTGCAAATCTACATGAAGTGTCTAACTGGAGCTGGGTTTCTTGTCATCCATCCACAGGTGTCCTTTCCTTCCTTACCTGTTCTTTCCTTCCTCACCTGTCCTTCTCCTGAATTCCTTGTGGTATTCTCCCCAAATCCCCAAATAAGTTTAGCTAACTTGTCAAGTTATTTTTTAAAGTATATATGTCTTTTCTATTAGTCAGAGTTTTCTAGAAAAAAAAAAGGGAATCAATAGGAGAATAGATAGATAGATGATAGATAGATAGATAGATAGATAGATAGATAGATAGATAGATAGATAGACAGACAGATAATTGACAGGAGAGATTTCTGTTAAGAAACTGACTTTTGTAGTTGTGGGAACTGGCAATTGCAAAAATCCATAAGGCAAGCCAGTAGACTAGAAATGCAGGAAAGAGTGCAGTACTGAGTCTAAATTCCGCAGGGCAAGAAGCTCAAGCAGATTTTCTGTATTGTACTCTTGAGACAGACTTCCTTCTTCTTCAAGGAACCTCAGTCTTTGCTCTAGAAGCCTTCTACTGATGGGGTGATGCCCACCACATCTTGGAAGGCAATCTACTTTACTCAAAGTCTACTGATTTAAATGTTAACCATGTCTAAAAAAATACCTTTAGCTTTCCCTATTCGCACCCACTTCAACACTCAAAAAGAAAATTAAAGGTAAGAGAGCAATACTCATTAAAGACAGGAAAGAGTGAGAAACCTAGCTCAGCTTTGTCTCAGTTTTGTTTCACTAAGATGGTAAAATAGAGAGTTAAAGCAGAAGTTCGTGAAATTAACTTGTGAAAAAGCAAATGTAGTAGAAAAGAGACATTAGGCAGATGGCTGTGCATGTTGGCCACACAGAAGCAATGTTGGCCATGACAAGTGTGGGTCCTGGTTAGTGGCAAAGGACCAGGGATGACAACAACAGGGTATCTCTGAGGTTATGAAAAAGTTGGGTTCTGATCATTTGGAGATGAGGCCTCTATGGATATAGCACCATATCTAAAGTTTCACCATTTACACTGCAAATATACATTCACTTCTCTGAGAGTGAGCAGAGAAGGCAGAGGTTCTGGAGCATCAGGGGAGAGCCCATTCTTACAAAACTCCACACCAGCATGCAAGCACTTACATGCACATAAGCACTAACAACACACCAAGAGCCTCCAGGTGACACCTGCCACCTCCAAATCCCCATATTCCACATGCTTAATGCACTTACAGTCTCCATCCCCCAGAAGACTGTAAATCTGACATGCCTTATCGGAACGGCAAGGGGGAGAGGTACGGTACACACACTGCTGATAGCACAGGCCCCTTTGGAAGGGGTGGTGTGAGCCCTTTCGGGCTATGGAAAGCACCCCTGGACAAGCAGGATGAGAGGTGGTGGAGGCATGTCTCACAGTAGCATCTCCTTCTAGGTCCTAATGGGACACTTCATTAATGGAACTACCATTTAAGTGAATTTAAACTGGATGCTTCTGATTGAGCCCCAGAGCTAGCGCTCCCCTGCCACCACCTGCACCCTCACTTCCCCTTGTTTAGGTGTCTCCCAACCCAGTAAGGCTGAAGAGGGAAGCTTCCTGCCTTCCCACTTCTCTGGGCAGAGTAGATTGATATGATTGTTCAGATTGTACAAGGATGTATTCCCTCTAAAATATTGCTTGACGAATGAGCCCCTTTTTCTAATTTGCTCAAAGAAATCATTTGGGCTTGAGGCAGAACTGTCCAGAGGGCACCAGGACCAGCCATTGTGATATGTAACAAGGTAGAGAAACAAAAGCTAAATGAAGAAGAGTGAGCCTCAGAATCAAAGAAATGAATTTGAATCCCTTTAAACCATTTTACAGGGACCTGAACATAATTAACTTCTCTGAAATTCAGTTTCCTTATCAATATGCTGGTGATAAGTGACTGTTGTTTGAAGACAGCATAAGCAAAGCATGCAGTACTTAGGAGATGTGTTCTTCCTTTAATTCCTCTATTATTAAAAGATGGGCACGGGGCAGGGGCTTCAGCTCAGAAGGCCTTGCTGAGAATGGAATGGAGGGCAGGAACCGGGGAGAGGGGCAAAAGCATTGCCAGCATTCTCTGTTGGGCTGTTCTCCACCCACCGCCTTTCCTCCTGCTTCCCTCTAGGTCCAGGGCATCTTTCCTTTTGATAAACTTCCCTTTTATAACGCGTCCAAGGGTGAAAAACGAAGTCACTACTTTTTTTTCAGTACCTTTAAGGCAAAGCAGCAGAAACAGGCAGTCACCACTATGAACAAGTGACTACAACAAGTACTGGGCCAAACTCTGCATTTTATTGGGCTGGCAAGTAGCTCTAAATCCTAGCTCACACTCTACTGAGTGAAAGTTTGATGAACCCACATCCTCTTGTGAACAACTGCGCCCGAGATCAGTCATGCAAAAAGTAGCACCCTCATCCCCAGACAGCTAACTTCCCAGGCTGTGATCAATGAGCAGCCAAGAGGCCAGGACAGGGAAGTCTCAGGACCTTTCTAGGAAATCAATACCTTTCTCTGGGTTTGTTCTACATGAAGTAATACTGATCTCCCTCCAACAGCTTAGTATGTGTGGAGCATTTGATCCTAACAGCAACTCTGCAAGGCAGGAAGGCAGTAGGAGGAAGCCCAAGAGGAATTAAGGCATTCCTTCAGCATTAAGTCAGTGAGACTGACAGAGGGGACCCCCTGAGGCCACTCTGGAAGGTCTTAGCCAGGGCCAGGATGCAAACCCTTTATGTCACTTTAGCTGAGATGAGGTGCAAGGTTCACAGCATATAACCTAATTTTATTACAAGAATGAAGACTCAGAGTTTAAATACTCCTGCTTTGGGGCTCATTAGTAACAAGTTCTCCAATATTCAAAAGGAAAGAGGATGTGTTTTAGTGTAAAATTAACACTAGCTGCTGTAACAAATAAGCCCCCAAACATATGATATCTCAAACACCGTAAGTTTATTTCTCACTCACATCAGAGTCAAAATGGATGTTTCTAACCTGCAACTGGGGCTTCTCCAAGCAGTATTCAGGGCACTTTCCATCCTGTGGCTCCACCATCTGTAATGCAGGACTCCAAGTAGTGGAAGAGGACACAGCCGAGGAGTCACATATGGGTGTGTGTCTGGGCCAGGATGGAAGTGGGTGTGCATTTCTTCTGCCCACCTCATTCACAAGGCCACACCCCACTGCAAGGGAGGCTGGAGAATGTGGACTGGATTTAAACCCAAGAAGAAGAAATGGTTTTCTGAATAGTTGGCCATTTACTGACACAAAAAGGGTCAAAGTGATTTGCAGAGGAGATGAATTTTAGATACTATAATTATTTCCTTGGCTGCCCTTTAGACAGAATTTATTTCTTTTTCTTTTCCAGTTAAACCTGAGGCTCCTTTTGACCTAAGTGTCATCTATCGTGAAGGAGCCAATGACTTTGTGGTGACATTTAATACATCACACTTGCAAAAGAAGTATGTAAAAGTTTTAATGCACGATGTAGCTTACCGGCAGGAAAAGGATGAAAATAAATGGATGGTATGTAGTTCATCTACATTAATAAAATAAAAACTTATTAATGTTTTCTATTTTGTTGGCCGAGTGGTGCATTTCCCCTGGGAGGACCCAACAATTTTGCTTTCAAAACCTACCTTCTACTGAAGAAGCTCCCAATATTGGCCCCACAAAAACCTGGATCTTCCCTGGTGCATACTCTTCTAGCTCTGGTTATTTTTTCTGCTCTAATTTTGGTCTTCAGAATGTTTCTACATTAGTGAGATGGATAACAATAAAGATTGAGGCCAAATTAATCCTCTGTATTCAGGGGCCTCAAAAAGTATCATGTTTAGTGGCGCTTTCATAGGCTAATCTGGCAAAAATGTTTATCTGGTTATGATCACCAAGTCATAGCCACATTCTGGCTTATGGGATTCATGGGACCAGCATGAGGTAAGGAAGAGAGGCATAATGTTTGTCTTTGTTTTGTTTTTATTTTAAAACCCAAGGTCTTTGTTTTTGAAGTAACAGCTTAATTTTTCTTCATCATCAGGAGGGTTACTTAGATGCTCTCTTCATGATTTGTTGAGGTTGAAATGATTTGGCAGTCCCTGAAATTTATTTTGGGGAGGAGGTGGCAGAAGAGTGGAGTGTACCAGGTTATGAGATTTCTCTTAACCCACCAGCCTAACTTCTGTTCTTTCTGCACCTCAGAGACGAAGAGGAGAGATGATGATTTTTCTTTCTCAAGGCCTTCTTATTCTTGCTGTCCTCTTTTTTCAGGCCAAGATTGGCCTTGTTTGTTTGCAGTATGATGCAAGATGCCACTTGCATAAATGTAACACCTGTCCCAAACCACCTGCTCCCTCCTTCTACTTACCCACCCCACCCTTGATCCTGCCATCTTTCATTATTCATCTGAAAATTGCACCAATGGAAAAGCAACTTAGTGGGGAAAGGAAGGATTATGAATAAATGCTTCCAGGACAATTAGTTACCTTAAAAAAAAAAATTTTTTTTTTTTTGGAGACGAAATCTTGCTCGGTCATCCAGGCTGGAGTGCAATGGCGCGATCTTGGCTCACTGCAATCTCTGCCTCCCAGGTTCAGGCAATTCTCTTGTCTCAGCCTCCCAAGTACCTGGGATTACAGGCACCCACCATCATGCCTGGCTAATTTTTGTATTTTTGTAGAGCTGGGGTTTCACCATCTTGGCCAGACTGGTCTTGAACTCCTCACCTCAGGTGATCCACCCACCTTGGCCTTCCAAAGTGCTGGGGATTACAGGCATAAGCCGCCACGCCAGCCAAAAATGTTTTTAATTAAAAAAAAATTATGATAAATGCCTAGTCGCCTTCATATAACAACAACAAAATAACAGATGATTTAAGGAAATTATATAAAAGTGAAACTCTAAACAAACTAGAAAAAATATAGCCAAATGTTTACATAATCTTGACATGAAGAAGAACATTCTAAGCATCAAAGCTGTAGAAGGAAGGAAAGGATTGAGACATGTGACTACATAAAATGTAGAGGTTTATGTATGTCAACACACATAATAATCAAAAATCAAAAATGCAAATTTAAAAGGAGGTTTAAATTGCCACATAAACAGCTGATAGATGGTTAGTATCATTAATAGATAACAAACTCTTTTAATTCTTAAAAAAAAATCACAATAGAAAAATGAGCAAAAAATTTGGGAAAAATCTCATGAAATATGGAATAAATTCAATAAATACATGAAAATGAACTAATTATCAAATAAATACAGATATAAATAACAATGGACTACTTTTTATCTATCAAATTTATAGAGTGTTTTTTATCTCAAAGATAATACACTGTGTGGAGGAGGCTTTTGTCTCTATATCACTATTCACAATGTAAAATGGCATCTTTCTGGAGAGAAATGATTCCTGCTCACTAACCTAACCTAACCTTTCTTCTCCCCTTGATATGTGAAAGGATAGAAAGAAAAGAAGAAGATATTGAAGTGTGGAAAGGGAGAGCCTGGGCAGTGCCTAACTCACCTGAATAAGAACCATCATTTCACTCTCCTCCTAGACCACTCACAATATCCTTTATAAGCTCAGATTCTGCCCCTAATTTTGCTGTTGACTCCTTTACATATTAGAGCTCCTTATTCTAACAAATATGAGACAACCTTGAGAGAATGCTTATGGGACTAAAGGAATCCCACTTGAAATGATGTGGGAGATTTAGGCAACACCTCTTTTCCCATCCTAAGAGTGTAACTGCCCTCTACTCTCTAGCATGTGAATTTATCCAGCACAAAGCTGACACTCCTGCAGAGAAACCTCCAACCTGAAGCAATGTATGAGATTAAAGTTCGATCCATCCCTGATCACTATTTTAAAGGCTTCTGGAGTGAATGGAGTCCAAGTTATTACTTCAGAACTCCAGAGATCAACAATAGCCCAGGTAAGGAATGGTGTTAGAGTTTTTGTTCCCCTGGAGTGCTTTGCATGTCAAAGTGTAGGAGCAAGTGAGAGGAAGATTGTTGAAACTAACCTGCAAAATAGGACACCCCTGGAGGGCATTCTTACACTTTGTTTGGAGAATGACTTGCCTGCTGTCTTTGCCCCTTTTGTAAAGAACAAGGAAGCAGAGGGAGCGGGGTCCTTATTACCTGAGAATTAGTACAGGCCTTCTGTGTTCCTGGAAGCTGCTATACATTTTGAAGAAATCCCCACTCACTACCTCCAGCTAACCAATTTAGCCTGGGACCCCAATGGTTGCAGTCTTTAAGGCCCCTCTAAGAAGCACCTTTATTGGTGTCAGGTATGTGGACAGGTGTGGCTGTCCTTTTCCAGAAGGATGAAGATGTCCTTGGGACTGGAACTGAGAATGTCTAGGAACTGAGACATTCCCTCCCTAGAATTTGCAACAGGGGTGAACATCTCTTTCATCATCTCTTGCTCTGGCTTCTTTCCATTGGTAGAAAGTTAAGAAGGGAAGAGAACATTGGTACCTTTGATGCTAGATCACGTTTACATTTCAAGTGGCAGATGCTCTAGGCCTGGTCACCCAAGTCAATGCCTTTTAAACCAAACTCCCTCTATAAAGCTGTCACATCTTTCTGTTAACTCAAAAGCAACTTTCAGGAAATAGTAAGTCAGCCCACATTACTAAGTAAATGCAAAGCATCCTGAGACCCTACCCCCACTGCATGGCTACTGAATGCTCACTACGATCTATTCTTGCTTTCCAGGGGAGATGGATCCTATCTTACTAACCATCAGCATTTTGAGCTTTTTCTCTGTGGCTCTGTTGGTCATCTTGGCCTGTGTGTTATGGAAAAAAAGGTGACCTTCTTCAACTAATAAAAAGAGTGATTGTGTGGGATCACAGACAGTCAGAGCTTGAGTCCCATTTATTGATGAGAAAATCACAAAGGGGATTAAGGCATTTCACGAATTTAGTGCCCAATATCCCTACCTATCCTCAGTGAATTTCCACAGTTAATTTCATAAGAGGCAAAAATGTATAAACTGGACATTAGGCAAACCCTGTCCCCAAAGTAAGAATTCTGTAATGCAATATTTCCCAAGCTTTTCTTCCAGTATCTCCTAAAGGTTGCAGAAGCCATCATTCATGGCAAATGCACAATGCACTTGAAGTCTTGACTTTAAACATATAAATTCATGGGATTTTGTATTCTAATCCATGCTAAGGCTATGTTTGTTTCATCATAAAAATGATGTTTTAAACATGCACTTGTTAAGTTACTTACTATACTAGGAGAATGCCCTTGGCAGAAGGCTATATATTCCCAGGATTACAAATACCTTAATTTGAAAAGTACTGCCTTGAAAGTACTAAGCAATTTCCCTGGGTAACTTGAAAAATATTCCCCCACTTCCACCAAAATTAGCTGCCAGAGTTGCTGTCAGTAAAGGGAAGGAATAAAAAGACAACACTTAAATTGGAAGTAAACAACGGGGTCGAATTGTACTTCCATAGCTCCACCAAAACTACCTCCTTGCAAGCCTTGGTGTTCCTTCCCTCTAGGGCTTTTTCCCAGAGGTTTATTATTGTCATGTCTTATTCACGGAATGGATTGATAGCAGTGGTCTCTGGTCCAACCCCTCCTTGAATTGATAGGGCACCGAGGCCCACAGAAAACCAGTCCCTTGACCATGGTCACCCACCTAATTGTGATAGAGCTAAGACTAGAAATCTGTTCTTCTGATTCCAGGCTTAGAGTAAGTGGGAAGACTCAATGTGCCTGTGCCCTCTGCCATTCACTTCATCTATCAATGTTCTCTGATTTCAGAATTAAGCCTATTGTATGGCCCAGTCTCCCTGATCATAAGAAGACTCTGGAACATCTTTGTAAGAAACCAAGAAAGGTGAGTGCTTTTGGTGCTTAAAAAGTATTGTGTTGGCAACGTCCCAGTGGCCAAGAATGATATTCCAGGACAAGGAACAGTTGAACCTCACCTTTTGGTATTTGATGCATCCTGTAACTAGGGTCCCTCCTAAGACCCTAGCTGCAGTAGGGAACTGAAATAAGATACACATCTCAGAACTTCTGGGCTCCCTGGGGCTGGAGGTCATACCAGTGGTCACTTCAAGTCTTGAAGTGTCTCAGAAGCTCCAGAAGCAAAGAGTCCATTGAGGAATATGCAGGCAATTCTGTGACATTCCCTGTCAGAAAACTCTTTAGACCTACTCTGGAACTGAACATTTGGTGGTGTGTCTCTCTGGTGCCATCTTAATGCCTTTTCTGCTTTTTCCATGCAGAATTTAAATGTGAGTTTCAATCCCGAAAGTTTCCTGGACTGCCAGATTCATAGGGTGGATGACATTCAAGCTAGAGATGAAGTGGAAGGTTTTCTGCAAGATACGT